GTGTGTGTGTGTCTCACCACCACCACCACCACCCTCAACATCACTCCAGGTAAAATACAGGTAATTCAATTTTTAAATCCAGTATAAAAGTGTAAAGCCGAACGGAAAATCCTGAATACGATGAGAATTCTTTTATAAAATGGTCTGTCTTTGAGTAACCGTACGAGAGTGTTCCAAGTTAACAAGTATTGAATTTCGACAACTCTCTCTCTCTCTCTCTTACTCACTTTGTCTCAGTAAGGCCTACGGTAGCTTTCAGTACAGTAAAAGTTTGCTCTCTCTCTCTCTCTCTCTCTCTCTCTCTCTCTCCCTACTCACTTTGTCTCAGTAAGGGCTACGGCTTTCAGTACAGTAAAGTTTGTTCTCTCTCTCTCTACTCACTTTGTCTCAGTAAGGGCTACGGTAGCTTTCAGCACAGTAAAAGTTTGCTCTCTTTCTCTCTCTCTCTCTCGTGTGTGTGTGAGAGAGACGCCGCCCAGGGAGGCCTCGTTAACAGGGCCGTCTCCCCAACCTGGACGGGAATGGGAATTGGAATTTGAAGACTGGAATGAACAGTAAAAAAAAAAAACATTGCCACTGGAATATACATTTTAGAATGAGTGAATCGGGAACTGCATGTGTTATGTGGCTTCTGGAATTGGAAGGGAATGGGAATGCTAGAATTGTGTTGTAATATGGGTTTCTGGAATTGATCGGGAATTGTGTGTTGGAATATGTTTTGGTTCTGTGTGAGAATGTGGGTTGTTGGGAATGTAGGAATATGTGTTTTGGAATATGTTCTAACCTAACCTAACCTAACCTAATATAACCTAACCTTCTCTAACCTAACCAAATCTAACTCAACCTAATTAACCCATCTTAACCTAACCTAACCATAACATAACCCATCTTAAATTAACACTCCCTAACCAAACCTAATCGCGCCAGGTGGCTTTACGATAGTTAATCTTCAGGTGAAATAAGCTTGGGAGGCGGCTCTTAAGTAACCCCGCTTTTATGTTTATATCAATGTTATGTTTAGGTTAGTTTAGGTTAGATTAGGTTAAGTTTCATTGTTAGGTTAGGTTAGGTTTTGCTTATCATGCACCTAACTATCATTAATATTCAGTAAACTATCAAATATATACATTATTAAACTTAATTATACAATGCGAGTAATTTCTGTCATATAAATATCAATTACTTTTCAATTTACACTTGTTTATATTGTAATGAAACAGGTGTTGATATATATATATATATATATATATATAAACTACCTGTGTGGGTCAATCTAATGTGTTCCCAGGTGCACTCTACCGGTACAGACACTCAACTGGTACACAAAACTTTACTGGTACACAAACACTCTACCGGTACACAAGCACTCTACCGGTACAGACACTCAACTGGTAACAAACACTTTACTGGTACACTAATGGTACAAACTCTACCGGTACACAACACGACACAGGCCAGTACGCCACACACGACGCGCAACACCACACTAACGCCAACATAAACCTCACCGCCATTCACCACCTCAACATACTGCCGTCCCAGAATTTCCAAACTAGAATTTTTATCCTCGTAATTTCAGAAGAACAAAGCTGTTGCGTATGATGAACACAGCTACGTACTCTGAGAACATATTCCCGTACTCTGGCCAGTGTTGAAGTACTCTGGGCACTGTAGAGGACAAGACACCGAGAGAAATATTTTTGGTTTAAGTAATATTAATTTATTTTATATATTTTTTATATTATGTACACAAACACTCCATACCAGTACACAAAGTAGTACATTCACACCCACCATAATATCCGCTCGTTTACACCCACTACATACAGTACTCCACCCGTCTACCCCCACCAGACACCCATCCCCCCACCATACAACTCAACTCCCCCACCCACCTCTATCCGTCTATCCCCACCCACAACCACCCCCCTCCCCACCACACAACCCACCACCAACACCCCCACCACAACACCCCCACACCACACCTCACCCACACCACATATAAAGATAATTCGATTACCTTAATGGTGGTTGTTTCTCCACTGTCATCATGTGTCGAGTCTATTGTGTTAACCCTGTAACTGATGATGCAACATAAACACCACCACAATACTGGGGACCTATCGTATACTAACCTAACCTAACCCTAACGTAAACTAACCTAACCACACTACTGGGGATCTAACCTAACCACAATACTAGGGACCTAACCTAACCTAATCTAAATACTGGGGACCTAACCTAATCTAAATACTGGGGACCTAACCTAATCTAAATACTGGGTACATAACCAAACACTAAACTATCCTAACCTATAACTAACCTGACCCTAACGTAAACTAACCTAACCTAAATTTAACTAGCCCAAATTTAACCCAACCTAAAACTAACCTAACCCTAACGTAAACCAACCTAACCCAAACTTAACTAGCCTAAATTTAACTTAACCCAACCTAACCTATAACTAACCTAACCCTAACGTAAACTAACCTAACCTAAACTAGCCTAAATTTAACTTAACCTAACCTAACCTAACCTAATCTAACCTAACCAAACCCAACCGTGTCTTCACTGATCCACATAATATATAATACTACATTCAGTTCAGAGTTTATTTACGTTTGACACACCAGTGGTAATATCCAGGAGAGAGGGGTGAGGGGGAAGGAGGGAGAAGGTGAGGGGGGAGAGGGAGGGATGGAGGGAGGGAGAGGGGTGCAGGCAGTCAGTCAGTCAGTCAGTGTCTCATGATGATTACTTCTGGTGACAAGTTTAAATATTGCTTCCAGTTTAAACAGGAGAGAGCTGAGCCAAGATCAAGTTTAATGACCCGCTGGCTGCCGATATCACCCAGGTCCCAGGAGGAAGGAGGAGGGATGGAGACAGGAGGGAGGGACGGATGGATGGATGAGGAGGAGGAGGAAGGAAGGAGGGACGGATGAGGAGGAGGGAGTAACGGAGACAGGAAGGGGTGAGGAGAGGCGGAGAAGGAAGGACGGACGGTACAAGGGGAAGGAAGAGGAGGAGAACGGAAGGAGGAAGGAAGTGGAGGAGGAGGAAAGCCGATAATAACAAGATTAGTCAAAGAAGAAGAGGAAAAAGACTTGATAAAGAGGAGGAAGAGGCATCGGGTGATTAGGAATAAGAGGATTAAGTTTAATGACTCGCTGGTGGGGGGAGGAAGGAGGAGGAGTTGAGGAGAAGGAAGGAGGAAGGAGGAAGAAGAGGAGGAGGGGAGGAGAAGGAAGGAGGGAAGAGGAGGAGGGGAGAAGGAAGGAGGAGGAGGTAGAAGAGAGGAAAGGAGGAGGAGGAAGAGGAGGACAAGGAGGAGGAGGAGGAGGAGGAGGAGGAGGAGGAGGAAGGAATTACGTCACAAGTACCCGGTCTCCCGTTTCCAGGTACCCAGTTTCCAGGAAGACCAACTGGTAGGATGTCGTCCAGCTGGATATATAACGGTGAGGATATTTTCCACTATAGGATCTACTCTATGCTCGTCTTAATAGCACCCCGGAGTATCCTATTGTGGCTGGGGAGTCCTGCCAGTCTCCCGGTGATCTACGGCCGCGTCCTACCACACCACACAGTTGGTCTGTTGTTGTCCTGGGAATAAATATCCTTTGGAGGTATTCCCATCCTTGACACACACACACATACATACAGATTGATGTGTGCTGGGGTAACTCAAGACTTCTGGAGTCTTGAAATTGATGCGCCTGGGATTATGAGGTGTGAGGGAGGATTATGAGGTGTGGGGAGGATTATGAGGTGAGGGAGGATTATAGTGAGGAGGATTATGAGGTGTGGGGGTGGATTATGAGGTGTGAGGGAGGATTATGAGGCGTCAGTGAGGAACATGTGTCTTAACGCACGCGGGCTAAGGGTGCAGTAAAGTACCTGTGTTATGAGCAGGTCAGGGCACACACACACACACACACACACACACACACACACACACACACACACACACACACACACACACTAATTCCACCTCAAAGTCATGTCATATAAAGACAACCAAATAAAAAAACAGAATCTTTCTATGTTCCACGGCACTTCCCCACCCCCCCTTTCCCCAACACCCTTCCTCATCCCTTCTCACCCCCCACCCAACCCCCTCCCTCCCCGCACCTCAACAAAGAACCCCCGACGTGCACCAAAACAACATAACCTGTTACTAAACTTCAAAGCCGATCTCCAAGAAACTCCACGGTACTCTCAAGCCATTTTTATATGCAAATACCAAAAGAAATATATCTCCCTCAGTCCAGCATCTCCCTCAGTCCAGCATCTCCCTCAGTCCAGTACCTCCCTCAGTCCAGTACCTCCCTCAGTCCAGTACCTCCCTCAGTCTAGTATCTCCCTCAGTCCAGCATCTCCCTCAGTCCAGTACCTCAGTCCAATACCTCCCCAGTCTAGTCTCCCTCAGTCCAGCATCTCCTCAGTCCAGCATTCCCTCAGTCAGCCTCCTCAGTCCAGCATCTCCTCAGTCTAGTATTCCCTTAGTCCAGCATCTCCCTTAGTCCAGCATCTCCCTTAGTCCAGCATCTCCCTCAGTCCAGTATCTCCCCAGTCCAGTATCTCCCTTAGTCCAGCATCTCCCTCAGTCCAGCATCTCCTCAGTCCAGCCTCCCTCAGTCCAGCATCTCCCAGTCTAGTATCTCCCCTAGTCCAGCATCTCCTTAGTCCACATCTCCCTCAGTCCAGTATCTCCCTCAGTCCAGCATTCCCTCATCCAGTACCTCCCTCAGTCCAGCATCTCCCTCAGTCTAGTATCTCCCTTAGTCCAGCATCTCCTTAGTCCAGCATCTCCCTTAGTCCAGCATCTCCCTCAGTCCAGTATCTCCCTCAGTCCAGTATCTCCCTCAGTCCAGTATCTCCTCAGTCCAGTATCTCCCTCAGTCCAGCATCTCCCTCAGTCCAGTACCTCCCTCAGTCCAGCATCTCCCTCAGTCTAGTATCTCCTTGTCCATCTCCCTTAGTCCAGCATCTCCTTAGTCCAGCATCTCCCTCAGTCCAGTATCTCCCCAGTCCAGTATCTCCCTTAGTCCAGCATCTCCCTCAGTCCAGTATCTCCTCAGTCCAGTATCTCCCCAGTCCAGTATCTCCCTTAGTCCAGCATCTCCCCCACCCTCAGTCCAGCATCTCCCTCAGTCCAGCATCCCTCAGTCCAGTATCTCCTTAGTCAGCATCTCCCTTAGTCCAGCATCTCAGTCAGCATCTCCTCAGTCCAGTATCTCCTCAGTCCAGTATCTCCTCAGTCACATTCCCCTCAGTCCAGTATCTCCCTCAGTCCAGCATCTCCTCAGTCCAGTATCTCCCTTAGTCCAGCATCTCCCTCAGTCCAGCATCTCCTCAGTCCAGTATCTCCCCAGTCCAGTATCTCCCCAGTCCAGTATCTCCCTCAGTCCAACTCCCTCAGTCCAGTATCTCCCTAGTCCAGCATCTCCCCAGTCCAGTATCTCCCTCAGTCCAGTATCTCCCTTAGTCAGCATCTCCTCAGTCCATCTCCTCAGTCAGTATCTCCTCAGTCCAGTATCTCCCTCAGTCGATCTCCCTAGTCAGCATCTCCTCAGCCCATCTCCCCAGTCCAGCATCTCCCTCAGTCCAGTATCTCCTCAGTCCAGTATCTCCCTAGTCCAGCATCTCCCTCAGTCCAGTATCTCCTCAGTCCAGTATCTCCCCCAGTCCAGTATCTCCCTAGTCCAGCATCTCCCTCAGTCCAGTATCTCCCTCAGTCCAGTATCTCCCTCAGTCCAGTATCTCCTTAGTCCAGCATCTCCTCAGTCCAGTACTCTCAGTCCAGTATCTCCCTTAGTCCAGCATTCTAGTCCAGCATCACCCTCACCAGTATCTCCTCGCCAGCATTCCCTCAGTCCAGTATCTCCTTAGTCCAGCATCTCCTTAGTCCAGCATCACCCTCAGTCCAGTATCTCCCTCAGTCCAGTATCTCCCTCAGTCCAGCATCTCCCTCAGTCCAGTATCTCCTCAGTCCAGTATCTCCTCAGTCCAGTATCTCCCTCAGTCCAGCATCTCCTCAGTCCAGCATCTCAGTCCAGCATCTCCCCTCAGTCCAGTATCTCCTCAGTCCAGCATCTCCTCAGTCCAGTATCTCCCTCAGTCCAGTATCCCTCAGTCCAGTATCTCCTCAGTCCAGCATTCCCTCAGTCCACATCTCCTCAGTCCAGCATCTCCCTCAGTCCAGCATCTCCTCAGTCTAGTATCTCCTCAGTCCAGTATCTCAGTCCAGCATCTCCTTAGTCCAGCATCTCCCTCAGTCCAGCATCTCCCTCAGTCCAGCATCTCCCTCAGTCTAGTATCTCATTTAAATTCCTGTTTTTTTTATCTCTTGGTCTCCTTTTAGTATCTCATCAGAGAGACTAACAAACGCTGCCTTAATGAGGATATGCCTGACGCTGCAGAGGCTGGTTGGTTGGTCCACACACACAGAGGCTCAGGGTGACTCTGCTCTCCTCATCCACTCTCACCCCTCATCCTCATCCATCACCCTCCTCCCTTACCTTGCTGCCGCCCTCATCATTCATCCTCACCTATCGTACTCCCTGACTCCCTTATCCCTCATCTTTCACCGTGCTTTCCCCATCTCACCCTCTTTCTCCCTCGTCGTACTTTGCACCCTCCTCACCCACACACACACACACACACACACACACACACACACACACACACACACACACACACACACACACACACACACACACACACACACACCTTCCAATACCCCCGCGTGTATATTTTAATATAAGTCTCGGGTCTGTGTTCCACCATAAGAGTCTGCCTGTTTTTATATAAGTGTTCACAGTGATTTACATGTTCAAGAGACTTGCAGTTTTCTTGTTCAACCACCACAACAACCACAACCACTACAACCATAACCACAACCACTACAACCATAACCACAACCACTACAACAATAACCATAGCCACAACCATCACAACAACCATAACCACAACAACAATAATAAAACAACTTTACAATCATCACAAAAACAATAATAATAACAACAAACACAACAATAACTACAACCACAACCCACCACCATAACAACCACAACACAAATAAAACCAAAATCACCACAATAATCACAACAATAACATTAACCACGATAACAACCATAATAGCAGCAGTCATAAGCACAACAATCACAACCACATACAACAACAGCACCTACAACGACAACAACAACCAAAAGAATCATAACAACTTAACCATAAAAATCACCACCACAACCCACAGCTTCACTCATAAAAACCAAACACAACCATAACAATCACAACTTAACCCAAAATATCACAACCACACCCCGCCGCTTCAACCATAACAATCACATACAACCACAGGAATCATAACTTAGCCCTAAAATCACAACCCACAGCCTCAATCGTCACAACCAAACACAACCAAAACTACAACCCCAAGAGAGGCAGGTTATTATCAGCATCACTCATTCATTTACCATGCCAGTACAGTATCTTCCCACAAGACCTGGCTATCATTACTTGCACTCACAGTGTTTACAGGAGCCAGCAGTGTTTCCTAAATGTTTATCTAAATTTTATAAATGTTTAATCTCTATGTGGGATGTGTAGTATGCATGGGGGTGTAGTATATTTTGAGGGTGTAGAATACAGGGTGGTGTGAAGTATAGATGGAGGGTGTAGAATACAGGGTGAGGGTAGTATACAGAGGGTGTAGTATACATGGAGGGTGTAGTATACATGGAGGGTGTAGTATACATGGAGGGTGTAGTATACATGGAGGGTGTAGTATACATGAAGGGTGTATTAACATTGGGGTGTAGTATACAAGGTGGGGATAGTATACATTGGGGTGTACTGTATTATACATAGGTGGAATGTTAACCCCGCGGAGCTGAATTATTAACACAAGAGAAGAAACATTTAGCCCAGCGAGTCACAGATAGTAAACAAACGGATCACATGAAGATTAGTCCCCCAGTACAGCTTATTTCATCTCATAATTCAACAACCTAATGCTAACCTAACTTAACCAACGCTAATCTAACCTAACCCTAACCTAATGACAACCAATCCTAACGTTAACCTACCCTAACCTAACCTAGTGCTAATCTAACCTAACGTAATGCTAACCTAACTTAAGGCTAATCTAACGTAACCTAATAACAACCAAACCTAACCTAACGTTAACCTATTACTAACCTACCTTACAGCTAAGCTAACTAAGCTAAACTAAGCTAAGCTAGCCTAACCTAACTTTCACTAGCCAAACCTACGCTAGATCTAACCTAACCTAACTAAATCTAGCCTAACTTAACCTGATCAAGCCCAAGATAACCTAACCAACCAAACAATCAAATCTGGCTTAACATAACTTACATTAGCCAAGTTTAACCTAACATAAACTAAACCCCAGTAGCGTTAAGGTGGGGTGTCTATTCTTCAGTTGATCCTAACTTTCCTATTCGTCAGTCTGTCTGTATGATTCTTCGAGTGTCCTGCTGATAGCTCGAGTGTCCGGCTGACAGTCCGAATGACCTGCTGACAGTCCGTGTCATGCTAACAGTCCGAGTGTCCTGCTGACGGAGACTAACAAGTTTAGGTTCCTCCTCCGGCTGCTAGGTGGTGATGAGACACAGGGGAAATTTCGTCGCTCCTCCCCTGGGGGCTGTAGGAGGTAAGTGGGGGGGGAGATAAAAGGAGGGAGGTGAGAAGGGAAGAGGAGAAGGGATGGGGGAGGGAAGGGGAGAGTAGGGACAGGGAAGAAAGGGAAAAGAGGGGTTGGGAGAGAAATGGGAGGCAGGAAAAGGAAGGGAAACAAGGGAAGGAGATGGTGACACTGTTGATGTGGGGAGAGAAAGCTAAGTGAGGGAGAGACAATAGAGGGAGATGCGGAGAGATAAGAAAGATCGTGTTAAGGGAGATGAAGGGACAAGAGAGAGGAGAGAGGGTGGTAAGGGAGATGAGGGGAGAGACAAGGCAAGGGGGTGGTAGCAAAGTAGATGAGGGTAAAGGAGAAATGGAGGTAAGGCTGATGAGGGAGAAAAGAGGAGAAATAGTGTTAAGGGAGATTAGGGGAAAGAGGAGGGGGGGGAGGGAAGGCTTGAAAGATGAGGGAGAGCAGCAGCGAGGGTAGATGAGGGGAGACAGGGGAGGGGAGAGAGGGTGGTGAAGTAGATGAGGGGAGACAGGGGAGGGGAGAGAGGGTGGTGAAGTAGATGAGGGGAGACAGGGGAGGGGGAGAGGGTGGTGAAGTAGATGAGGGGAGACAGGGGGGAGGAGGGTGGTGAAGTAGATGAGGGAGACAGGAGGGAGAGGGTGGTGAAGTAGATGAGGGAGACAGGAGGGGGAGAGAGGGTGGTGAAGATGAGGGGAGACAGGGGAGTGGAGAGAGAGGGTGGTGAAGTGATGAGGGAGGGTAGATGCTGGTTAAGGTAGATGAGGGGAACAACAGCGAGGGGAGCGAGGGTAGGATCAAGAAGAGACACAATTAATCATCTCACTGTATCAGGAAATCCCAACAGGGACTCCTCACTTGTGGGGCATGGCTGAGGGAGACAGGCCATGGTAGGGTGAGGGAGACAAGCCATGGTAGGGGTGAGGGGAAACAAGCCATGGTAGGGGTGAGGGAGACGAGCCATGGTAGGGGTGAGGGGAGACAAGTCATGGTAGGGGTGAGGAGAGACAGGCCATGGTAGGGTGAGGGAGACAGGCCATGGTAGGGCTGAGGGGAGACAGGCCATGGTAGGGGTGAGGGAGACAGCCATGGTAGGGGTGAGGGAAACAAGCCATGGTAGGGGTGAGGGGAAACAAGCCATGGTAGGGGTGAGGAGCACAGTCATGGTAGGGGTGAGGGGAGACAAGTCATGGTAGGGTGAGGAGAGACAGGCCATGGAAGTGAGGAGACAAGTCATGGTAGGGGTGAGGGGAGACAAGCCATGGTAGGTGAGGGGAGACAGGCCATGGTAGGGGTGAGGGGAGACAGGCCATGGTAGGGGTGAGGGAGAGAAAGTCACATGGTAGGGGTGAGGGGAGACAAGTCATGGTAGGGGTGAGAGGGGAGACAAGTCATGGTAGGGGTGAGGGGACAAGCCATGGTAGTAGGAGACAGGCCATGGTAGGGGTGAGGGGAAACAAGCCATGGTAGGGGTGAGGGGAAACAAGCCATGGTAGGGTGAGGGGAGACGAGCCATGGTAGGGGTGAGGGAGACAAGTCATGGTAGGGGTGAGGAGAGACAGGCCATGGTAGGTGAGGGAGACAGGCCATGGTAGGGCTGAGGGGAGACAGGCCATGGTAGGGTGAGGGACAAGCCATGGTAGGGGTGAGGGGAGACAAGCTTGTAGGGGTGAGGGGAGACAAGTCATGGTAGGGGTGAGGAGAGACAGCCATGGTAGGGTGAGGGGAGACAGGCCATGGTAGGGCTGAGGGGAGACAGGCCACATGGTAGGGGTGAGGGGAGACAAGCCATGGTAGGAGAGGGGACAGCCAGGGGTGGAGGGGAGACAAGCCATGGTAGGGGTGAGGGAGACAAGCCATGTAGGAGTAAGGGAGACAGGCCATGGTAGGGGTGAGGGAGACAAGCAATGGTAGGGCTGAGGGGAGACAGGCCATGGTAGGGAGTAAGGGGAGCAGGCTTGTAGGGGTGAGGGAGACAAGCCATGGTAGGGTGAGGGGAGACAAGCCATGGTAGGAGTAAGGGAGACAGGCCATGGTAGGGGTGAGGGGAGACAAGCCATGGTAGGGGTGAGGGGAGACAAACCATGGTAGGGGTGAGGGGACAGCCATGGTAGGGTGAGGGGAGACAGGCCATGGTAGGGGTGAGGGGAGACAGGCCATGGTAGGGGTGAGGGGAGACAGGCCATGTAGGGGTGAGGGGAGACAAGCCATGGTA